CTTATGCCTTATTGTTAAACTTTCAAGAAAATTAAAATGATCTCTATAACAAAGAGAAAATAAAATGCAAGAAATTTGTAGTGATTTTGGTGCTTGCTCTGAACACAAATTATCCGAGTTGCAGATTTGCTTGGTAGAGATTACTTGTCTCTCCTTTTAGCCTCTAATCATTCGCATTATGATTACAGAGAGTAAAGCTCTGGTCTGATGACCCATGTGGTCCCCCAAGCACTGCCAGGTGTGATCCCTGAACATACAGTCAGGATTAAGTCCTGACCATTGCCAGAAGTGGCCCCCAAACAATTGAAAATAGAGAAAAGTCATGAGGCTAAAAGGATCACGATCAAGATCAAGTTTTATCATTCAGATAAAACCTGGCAGGCTACCGAATGTAACCTGCCTGCATGGCAAACTCCCCGTATGCCAAAATCCAGTAACAATGATGGGTCTCATTCTCCTAATCCTGAAGGAGCCTTGAATATGGCACTTTTGAAAATCTCAGGGCTAGGATGAAGGAGATGTTACTGGTGCCTGCTTGAGGCAATCGACGAACAACAGGATGATCTTGATTGTGATCCTTTTAGCCTCATGACTTTTCTCTATTTTCAATTGTTTGGGGGCCACTTCTGGCAATGCTCAGGACTTAATCCTGGCTGTATGTTCAGGGATCACACCTGGCAGTGCTTGGGGGACCACATGGGTCATCAGACCAGAGCTTTACTCTCTGTACTTTCACTCGGGCCCCTGATCATGATTTTTATAGGATTTTCTTACACACAGCAGTTGTTATCAGAACCTGATGTTTTCTTGGGGTGTATTTAAAAAATTTTTTTTAATTGAATCACCATGAGATAGAGCATTACAAAATTGTTCATGATTGCATTTCAGTCATACAATGGTCTAACACTCATCCCTCAGCCATTGTAATTTCTCAGCACCAGTGTTCCCAGTTTCCTTCCAACCCCTTCAAGCCAATCCCCACCCCAGCGTGCCTCTATGGCAGACACCCCTCCCATTTTAGGCATTATGGTTTGTGATACAGATGCTGAAAGGTTATCATGTATATTCATTCCCTTTTTGGGGTGTATTGTTGATATGATGAAGCTGCTCTCCCAGCACGGGGAGGGGGTAACTGGCTGTGGCTAGAGTCCTCTACATCAGATGGGTTCATCAGTGCAATGTTTTTAGGTAATTTGGGAAGAATTGTTGAGCAAGTTGATGAGATTTATCATGTAGTGGTGATTGCTTGCTGTGGCAACAATTTCTATGTATAGATCATTTTTGATACCCTTACCAAATCCATGTTGTTGCTGGGACCTCAGATATCATGGGCTATATTATCTTCCCTAAGGTGAAGGAGAAATTTTTGAAAGAGGAGTTAGCACACGGATAGAAAGACAGATCTGTTTGGACTCACGGCCAAGCACACTGGCTCTGAGGTGCAGGAAGGGGCTTTGAAAGAGGGGTTTCCTGTGGGATAACCTCAGCCCTCAGGGGCACTGCTGGACAGTTTCCAACAGAAATCTGTATCTAAACCTTCAACACAGTAATTGATAATACAGTGCTAGTTACTATGGACTAATTCATTGTATATGCAGAGAGCCATTTAGACTAAAGGCACATCCAAATGTTATAAGAAATGAATGAATGGTGCTTTAGTTGAACTGCTTGGCAAAGCAATCCCATCCTTGCAAGATGACTCAAAGATCCTAATCATAGTTTTTCTGCACAATGGAAACCTAACTTCCAGGTTCAATATTGGTTCTGCACAGTCTCAAGTTCTCTTCTTGGAGGGTAGAACAAAATGAGTTTTCTAAAAGCACAGTATGTATGTTTTTACTATGTTGTGAAATATGACAAGATTTCAAGCTGCTGAAACTTTGAGAAGTTTCCAGGGAATCTGGATTTAAGCTTCTTAGTTTCACAGAGAATCTGCATGCTACACGATTAAATCATAGTGGTAGGTAGTTTCAGTGTGAAACTTCCATGGACAACTTTTTAAAAAAATTTGTCCTGAATATCTGTGCATGGATTCCTCTAATATTCCCTGGAGTTTATTCATTCTTTCAAACTTTTCCCGGTGGTGGGCATATGGTGGAAACAGTGAATTTCCGTTTTTGTCTTGTTGACTGCTATACACCTCATGCTGGGCTATTTCATGGTCTGTTTCACCTGGGGCTGTGATGGCCTTCTGGATCCTTCTCCTGCCCCAGTGAAGGAGAGTAGGGCACTGGGTATGAGGGAAATGGAAGCAGCCTCCCCTGAGTTCAGGTTATGCCACAACAGGCTTGTAATGAGAATAATGACCTGAGTTGGCTTGACTGTGCTTATCAGGGATGTAGAACAAAGGAGGAGGAATTCGTGGGCAGGGTAAGGTCAGCAAGACTTTCTGTTGCTAATGAGCTTGTAGACTTTGACAGGTTGATGACCATTCTGCACATAAGACATCTGCTCCAAAAAGGGAGAATTCTAAACCCACAGTGAAAGACTGAGTGCCCTTTGCTTGGACCCACTCTCACGCCTCTGCGTTTTGAACTTCTGCTCAAGTATAAGGTGCAACGTGGAGGCGTGATGTGTGAATTCAATTCCAAGTTCAGGATATCCTTGAGTCCCTGGCTGAAGCGGGGTGGGCTGAGCTTGTCTCATCTTCAGCCCCTCAAGACCATGTCTAGTGGTCTTGTCTAGTGGGTGCTTATAAACCCCAGTTTATGTGCTGGTCCCCTAGGGAGGGAAATACCAGTCTACACTCCTTAAAATCATGCTGTCCTGGGTCAGGCCAGGCCTGAGAATCTATGTAGCTCAGCTCAGCTCAGCCCTCTCGCCACTTTCACCCGGTTGCTTTCAGGGTATGGATCCACTCTGAACACATAGTCAGACCCTTCGTTAGAAAAACAGTTCTTACTTGAGGTAGAACTTAGAGGTAGCATTTGCCTTGCATGGCTCTAGCCCCCCGACAGTTCTCAAAGTTTTCAATCTCAGCACCCCTTTCACCCTAATACGTTACTGAGAGCCTCCCTCCCCAAATAATTTTGTTTTCAATTGCCATTCGTTTGCAAACTAGAAACAAAAATCTCAAATTTTGGGAAATATTAATTCATTAAAAATGACAGTAAGGGAAAATAGACTGGGCACTGGGTATGAGGGAAATGGAAGCAGCCTCCCCTGAGTTCAGGTTATGCCACAACAGGCTTGTAATGAGAATAATGACCTGAGTTGGCTTGACTGTGCTTATCAGGGATGTAGACCAAACATGATTGCCGCTCATTGCCTCTTTTGCAAACTACAACACCCAAAAGGAGAGAGAACAAAAGGGAATGCCCTGCCACAGAGACAGGGTGGGATGGGGGGAATGAGGGGTGGGAGGGATACTGGGATCCGTGGTGGTGGGAAATGGGCACTGGTGGAGGGATGGGTACTTGATCATTGTATAATTGAAACCCAAGCACAAAAATTTGTAAGTCTACAACTGTACCTCATGGTGTCTCACTAATAAAAATTAAAAAAAAAAGACAGCAAGTTCATCATTCCATATTCATGGAATAATACCTCTTAATTGAAAAAAAGTGTTTTCTAAGGTAAAAATGTAGGAAGGAGAGTCACCATTTCTTCGCCACTAGAAATGTCTGTCTGGGAGATACACCCTACAGTGCTCTGGAGAAGCCTTGTGTGTCTGCATAAAAGGTTGGAACAGAAAAGGCAAATCTTATGCAAGCTTTGCTAGGAAGACAGTGCGCTCTCCTGAACCGCCAGGGGCCCGGGCACCTCAGAGACCCTCTGCACTGCAACCTGCGTGGTGTCTGCCCACCCTCGGTTTTCTCCAGCTTCAGGGTTCTGGCGAACCTGCCCTTTCTTTGCCCTACCTCCCACGTTACCTGGGGCACCGCTCACATGTCTGGGCAGCCCCGAACTTACTTCTCCATCTACATATGCCCTAAACAAATTGCCAGGTCGAGGTGGGTGGCGAGTTGGCCCAATTCCACCTTGTGTGGAGGCCCTGCACCTGGCAGATACACCTCAAGCCCTGAAATAGCAGTATCCTGAGATGCAGTGCTCCACTCGGCTTCCGGGATGCTAAGCAAATGCCACATGCCAGGGGGTACTAAGGTAGTTCTGAGGGCCAGAGTCTGAAAGGAAGGTGTTGGCAGGACTGTTCCCTCTGAAGGCCAAGGATGCTCCCTCTCCTGGCTCCTGGTGTGGCCAGTGATTATGGGGTCTCTTGGCTTCTAAAGCAGCCCCCCGTTGCTCTGTTGCTGCATGGGGGTTTCTTTCTCTATGTGTTCACGTCCTGGGCCTTCTGTGCATGTCTATCTTCCCTCCAATTCCCATAAACTCATTAGTCACATTGAGTGACAGGGTGCGGAGGTACCATCTCTTTTTGGTACTTTTTGACTGTTTGGCTCAGGGGTTACTCCTGACTCTTCACTCTGGAATTACTCCTGCTCAGGGGACCATCAGAGACACCAGGGACAGAGTTGGGGGCAGCTGTGTGCAAGGCACACACCCTACCCTCTGTGCTGTTGCTCTGGCCCCAGTGGTACCAACTCTTTCTAGTAGATGCAGTTCAACTCGTAATGCTTGCCAGCACAAAACTGCTGTGACTCGACTTTTACAAAACAGAAACTTACACAAGTTTCCATTTTGTTGGCTTTAACCCCATTCCCCAAAGCAACCAAACAGGATAATCAAACCAGTAGATCTGATCAGTGCTTCAATTGTTCTGCCGCCTTACTCAAGAAGGAGGAGCCCCAGGCTTCTGATGTGGCTGCTGCGCCCCCCAGAAGGCTGATTTAGAGACAATGGGCAGAGTTGAAGTACACACAGGACTTCACACTTTGGCCCTTCATTGGCTTCAGACTCTTGAATTCCTAAATTGGCCTCTTTTGTCTCCCAAGCCCATTACTTTCCTGACTCGGACTTCTTACTGCCATGGAAAAACAGGTGGGAGCACTCAAAGATGCGCCATGAATTGACCTCAGCCCTGTCTTTTGTTGCAGGCCGCCATGGATGCCCTGCAACTGGCCAACTCAGCATTTGCGGTTGAACTATTCAAGCAGCTGTGTGAAAAGGAGCCGGCGGGCAATGTCCTCTTCTCTCCCGTCTGTCTTTCCACCTCCCTGTCACTTGCTCAAGTCGGTGCCAAAGGTGACACTGCGAGTGAAATTGGACAGGTAGGCCCAGTTCCTCGGTTGTGCTTTGTGTGGCTTCTGAATTATTCGACCCATGGGCAGTAACAAGGGAAGAATGAGGAATAGGAAAGATTCTGCCCAGAGTTGCTGTATTGTGGAAAGTCATGCCTTTCATAGCTCTCTCTTAATTTAGGCTGAGCCATCAAAGTTCATTTCTCTGTCCTGCAATTAATGTTTAGGACAGGTGCCATGTTGTCATGGATAACCTGGGCACTGCTAGGTACTCACAAGTTTCCCAGTGACCCTTCAGCCAGCCACCAGCATCTTTCTATTGATGTTGTAAGGAAATCTCATTCATTTGTTAAATGCCCCATTGCAAACATCCAGTCAGAATGTGTCTCTGTATTCCTGCCTTTTGTACACTATATATTTGTAGCATCTTGCTTTAAGATTTTACCCTAGAATATGATTCTACACTACAATATTTCTAGCAGGTACAGGCTGGTGTTGAAAAGCAGAGCTGCCTGACTCAAGCTCACCCAGGCAGTCGCTCTGCTGATGCTCAGCCATTGGGCTCTTGATTGGGGGCCTCAATAGATCCTTAATCAATGGAGACCCCTCAATCCTAGAATCTGATATATGGATAATGGTTTTAGTGTTGGTCTCTACATGGAGAGAAGTTATAACTCCCTCTTTGTCTCTAAAATGGAGAGAAGTTATAACTCAGCTTCACCTTCTTTTCTTTTTATTTATTTATTATTGGCTTTTTTGGGGGTCACACCCGGTGATGCACAGGGGTTACTCCTGGCTTTGCACTCAGGAATTACTCTTGGCAGTGCTCAGGGGACCATATGGGATGCTGGGAATAGAATCTGGGTCGGCGGCATGCAAGGCAATCGCCCTACCCACTGTACTATCGCTCCAGCCCCTTCACCTTATTTTCAAGCTTGGAAAGTCGTCTGTGTAAATAATTGAGCATTGATCAGAAGAAAAAGGCTGATTCTGTCCACCCCCAAATGTCTGGAGATATCTGTCAATGTCTGGAGATGATGTTGGTTATCAGGAGCTAGGAGTTAGGGATGTGAGTAAGGATCCTGTGATGCCCGGAACAGCCCCCTTCTCAACCTCCAACACAGAATTACCAGCTTGGAACACCTAGATGGAAATAGAAGCGTTGTTTGATGGAAACCACAGAGAAAGGGGGTGGTAGTCCTCCAGGGAAGAGGCGGGCTTTTGTGGCTGATGGATTGGTTTCTCTTCACAGGTGCTTCACTTTGAAGGTGTCAAAGATGTGCCCTTTGGGTTTCAAACGGTCACCTCAGATGTAAACAAACTTAGTTCCTTCTATTCGCTGAAACTAATCAAGCGGCTCTACGTGGACAAATCTTTGAATCCTTCTACAGTAAGTGGTTTACAGTGATCAGCAAGTTTTGGCTTTTCCGCAATGCCAACACGTTCACCTGGGTAGACCCACACCAACCTTTTTTTTCCCAGCAAAATTTACTTCCTCAGAGCTTGATTTTGATTCGAGATTTATTCAAACAAGCCAGTTCTAGTGAAGTGGCTTGCAGTCACATCTTGTAGCTCAAAGTATTGAGAAGCTGTGGGCCTACCTCGTCTCTCTCAAATACTCATATTTCCCACCCTTCCTTTTAGAATCCTCACCAAGAGGAGCGATTATAGTCTGGTCACTTGCAGTGAGGACAGTGGAGGCCCTTCATCTGGTGTGGTTTTGTTATGTTTGCTTATGGGCCCAGGGCAACACTCTGCCCCAAGGTTGCGTTGCAATGAATAGAATCAAATTGGTGATGGTGTAGAAATTCAAGGACCCATTTGTTTAGGACTTGACCATTATTATGCATCATCTGGATGAACTATCACTCCAGTTTTGAAATATTTTAACCGAACTTGGAGTTGTAAGAAAATTTTTTTAAAGGGCTGTTTTCCATTGCTCCTCTCTGCTGTTGTGTCATCTGTATATCTATAGTCTCAACAAGCATGGTTTGAGGATGCTGTAAATTTCTGGTCTCAAGTCGCTGAATCAAGGTCAACAGGAATGACTTTTAGAGTTTTGTGTTCTTAACAAGCACTGGAATTAGAATCACTGCCATGTTTTTTTTATTGTATTTAATATTCAAACTTTAATATTTAGATGAATCACCCAAGGGAACTTGTTAAGATTCATGTTTCATTCAGAAGGTCTGAGATAGGACTCACTATTCTGCTTTTCTAACAGGGTTATATCTAAGTAATATTGAAGCTACTTAAGTTTGGGACCATATTTTGAGCAGCAAGAGTCTATAGAATATTTATTGCAATGAAGATAAGTTTTCTGCTCACAGAGTTCTTTTGTGTGCAATCCTTCTATTCTAGGACACACAAAGGTATCATATTTACATTTTAATGATTCTTGCACTGGAATGGATTATAATTATGTGCTCATAGAGTGCAGTATCTCTAGCCCCCCCCAGAAGTTGATTATAAATTGAGAATATATCTAATTATTGATATTGTCTTAGAATTGAATAAATGGAAAATTGAGTGTAATTGCTTTCTACATGAAATTTCAATTTATATAGTGCTACAGATCTTTTTTTGGGTAGTCACTCCCAGTGATACTCAGGAATCACTCCTGATTGGTGATGGTGATCAAACCCAGAACTGCTACGTGCAAGGCAAGCACTCCATCCAGTGTACTATTGCTCTGGCCCTCAGTGTTACATATTTTTAAAGTGCATCCAGAATAATAAATGTTTAAAAGTTCTTTGGTAAGAATTATGGAACAACATAATAGTTTGGCTGTAGCTTTAAGAACTGCGTGGTTTTATCAATGGGATTCTTTTTCAGGAATTCATCAGCTCTACAAAGAGACCCTACGCAAAAGAAATGGAAACTGTCGACTTCAAAGATAAACTGGAAGAAACCAAAGGTCAGATCAACAACTCAATCAAGGATCTCACAGACGGTAAGTATTCTTCACTGGTTTCGTTGGAAACTGCTCATGATTAGATAGGCCCTGCTGTCTAACGGTTTGTTTGTTTGTTGTTGTTGTTGTTGGTTTTTGATAAGCCTAAAATGGAATATTAGGGAGATTCCAGATTTTCTACGTGCCAACTAAATTCTTGCCCATTAAGTCATTTCAACAGTGGGTTTCTGTGCATTCCCCCATTATTTAGACCCTTGGCAGAAATTTCTGGTGACTCCATTTTAGCCTGTCTGGTACCCCACAAACTCCTTTAGACCCTGTTCCGGAGTCTCAGCTGTCCTGTGATGTGTGGCTCCTTTCTTAGCATCTACCTGCTTCTGCCTCTGCTCATATTTCTCTTGGGATTTTCCTTCCTTCATTAAAATCCTCCATGAATTCTCCAAGATAGAAAGAAAGTGGTTCTAGGATGATTTGGAGCATAAAGCAGAGAACCTCTTCCCAAAGGATGTATTTTTATGTGTACAGGGAGATAGCCCCTTGTCATGTAGGAGAAACAGTATAGATGGACTTTTCAGATGTTACTCCAACAGCTGTGGGTGAGGAGGGATGTACTTCCAGGTCAAGGGAGACATATTTCTTAGGAGATGGGCAGGAACCACCTGCCTGCTATGCTAATTCAGGAGTGATAGAGCCCAACTACGATGACAAAATGAGAACATGGAAATAATATAATCTTGGTGTCATTCAAGACCTAGTTTTAAGTACAGACAATACCACTGTTTACTGAACTGTAAGAGGGGGCATATGTTACCTATTTTATTTTTACAAGGTTGATGTGAGGATCAAATTAGGTAACATTTATTAGCAAATAGTATGTACTAGTCACAATCAGATATGGTGATTATTAGCTATGTATGTACATGCAATGTATGTATATATACACGTTATTTGTTATTGAAGTTTTTCTGACTTAAGTGTAGATAATAAAAGGGCATTAGGAAGACCTAGTGAAGCACAGTTAAGAAGTTACAAGTGAAAACAGCTCTTGTTTAAATTGCTTTATAATGGTACTGCTTTGAGAGTTACTAAATAATTGTCTTTTCTCTTGATAAACTTTTAAAAAATACTTCAGAAACTTAAGATTTTTACTGAATAAAGCGGCTCAATGAAAAGGCTCAGAATTTCAATCAGAATCCGGAAATTTAAGTTGAACATCTACCACTTAAGAGTACAGTCAACATACAATATTGGCAGGACATACTTTTATTTATATTTTTTATTGTTTTTTTTTTTTAGTTTTTTAGATGATACCCAACGATGATCAGGGGTTAGTCCTGGTTTTGATCAGGACATAATATGAAGGTCATAGTACAAAATAAAAAGATAGGATCCCTCATTTGAAATATAGTAAGAAGTTTTTGGTAGTGCAGGGAAGACCAGGTGGTGCTGGGAACTAACCCAGGGCACAATATGCGAAGCATGCACACCAATCCTTCCCATAATTTCCCTGGTCCCACACAAAGAATTCAAGAAGGTGACAGAGGACATTTAACTGGAGCAGGCTTATGGAAATCATCACTGAGCAGTTATGTGAAGATCCTGGAGGTTAAGTAACAGAAATCCTTTGCAAATAATATAAAATGTTATCCAAATAGAAGGATGTAATTTTTATCCAGCATTTTCACCATTGATCTGCTTTGTCTGTTGGGGCTTTGAGCTCTGGTACGATCACACTTTTAATTAGGTCTGTGGTGAAGATTACAGATGAAGTTGATACAAACAGGCTGTTCTATCAGTGCAGTCTGGGGTGGGGGTAGAGAGCTAGTGGGCAATGAGGAATGTATTTTTGGGTGACAAACATGTTTCCTAGCTGAGTGAACTGGGAACATCATCTGACCTTCCCGAGCCCCAGTTTTCTCATCTATCAAATGGGAATATTGGCCTTTGTTTTAAATGTTTATTGTAAATACAAGTGAGAGAATACATGTGAAGATGCAGAATATAGTGCCAGGTGTAAAGTAAGTGCTTACACATTTGCACTTCGTCACATAGTCTTTGGAGTAAAAAAATACCCAGATTTGAATCCAAAGTCTACCCTTGCTCAAGTGTCATCTCAGGCCAGTGACTTAACACCCCATCTCAGTCTCCTTTGCAAAATGGGGAGAAATGAGACGCAAACAGAAAGTGTTTGACACCTTGTCCATCCATTACAGGCATTCAAAAGTGGTGATTTGTGATTTTCTTCTTCCTCTGCTCTCCTTGTCCTTCTCTTTACTTAACTTTGGTAAGTTGGTTGTCCCAATGGGAAGAAAGAAAGGAATCTTTTTGAAAGAAGATAGTCTGGCATATCATCACCATGTAGTCTTTCATGGTGTAACTATAGTAAGTGTGAAATATCTTTCAGTGGACATGCAAGTGAACATTACATATGTTTTGGAAGAACAAAAACTCCATGTAATCTGTGGCTTCTTCAAATTATTTGCAGGCCATTTTGAGAACATTTTAGCTGACAACAGTGTAAATGACCAGACCAAACTCCTTGTGGTTAATGCTGCTTATTTTGTTGGAAAGTGGATGAAGAAATTTCCTGAATCAGAAACCAAAGAATGCCCTTTCAGAGTCAATAAGGTATGTGGGACTGGTTTTGAGCTAAGTTAGATCTTGTAAAACAGCAGGGTTTCAACCTTATCATACTTGAGGTCTGGTACCTGTCCACAGACCAGTGTTGAAAGCCACTCTTAAAGAAGTTATGAACCAGTGGCTAAAGCTAAATCACCAACTGGAAAAATGGCAACAAATACAGATATATGTCACTTAATCATGTTTTAGTTAAAGATATATAAATGACCGTGGTCCCAACAAACTATAGCATATGACCTCGATGTGTAATGACCATTGATACAGCTTCATAGGTGTGTCTACCATCTAAGTGTGTTTAATTTCATTCTATGATGTTCACATAACAGTAAAATCACCTAATAACACATTTCTTTTAAGAACGCATTATCTTTAAATGACACACAACTCTCTTTGGGGTCATTAGTGAGATAGGCAAAGATATGAATTAACCAAATCCCAGTATTATAGACCTTAAAATTAGTAGGAAACCTTAATCATTTGAAAATCTTGTTCCAAGTTAATCAACTCTTTTATGATCTTATATATCAGTAAATATTTCTGATGTTTTAATTTATATGAGGTTTTGAGGCCTTTGTTGGTTTTCAAGGAACATATTTACTTCACTCTTACACTTGGAGGCATTATGGGGAAGACTAGAGACTTGATTTTGGCAATCATGTTTGGTCTATAGTCTACTCTCAGCACGCATCTCCCATCCTGGGAGGATCCTCCCAACACCCTTTATTTGGTGCTCCCTTCTCTATCTGAACTGCCTTTTCCCCTAGCATGTGTGGCTGGCCTCCAAGCCATGGAGTAAACATCCTGGTATTTATCTGGGCTATTCTTGGGTGTTAGTCTTCTATTTGTTCTTTTATGAATGCAATCTTTCTATGTCTGTCCCTCTCTTTCTGACTCATTTCGCTTAGCATGATACTTTCCATGGAGTACCACTTGTATGTAAAGTTCATGACTTCATCTTTTCTAACAGCTACATAGTACTCCATTGTGTAGATGTACCAAAGTTTCTTTAACCAGTCATCTGTTTTCGGACACTCAGGTTTTTTTTTCCAGATTCAAGCTACTGTAAACAATGCTGCAATAAACAAACAAGTGCAGATGTCACTTCAACTATACTTTTTTTGCCTCTCTGGGATATATTCCCAAGAGTGGTATTGCTGGGTCAGTTGGTGGAAGGAGGTGCCATAGCCAGTAGTGCTCAGAGCTTACTACTGGCTCTGTTAAGGAACTGCACCTAGAAACGCTTAGGGGATCATATGTGTCTAGGACTAAACCAAGGTTGGCATTATGCAAGCCAACACCTTATGCCCTATACTATCCCATCCTTTGCTTTCTTTTTCCCTTCCTTCCTTCCTTCCTTCCTTCCTTCCTTCCTTCCTTCCTTCCCTTCCTTCCTTCCCTCCCTTCCTTCCTTCCTTCTTTGCTTTCTCTCTCTTTCTTTCTTGGTCGCACCTTGACGATGCTCAGGGGTTACTTCTGGTTCTCTACTCAGGAATTAGTCTGGCGGTGCTCAGGGGACTATATGGAATGCCAGGGATAGAACCTGAGTTGTCTGTGTGCAAGGCAAATGCCCTACCTGCTGTACTATCGCTCCAGCCCCTGAAGGTTCTTTTCTCCCATTAAACTCTACATCAACACATCAGAGTAGGTGCGGGGACCGGGGAGGGACCGATGGAGAGTGACTCAACCAGAGGTAAACAGAAAACTTAATAAATTAGAATTCTGATGGCCATATGCTGGAAATTGCCTGCTATTTTCTTTACTATGTGTTTTATTAGGAAAAGTCATGGATTCTAAATTCTAGTTTGCACTAGAATTTTCTTTCAAGTCAGCTCCAGAGAAGTGCTTTGAAACTCTTTAATTATGGACATCTACCTAAAGGAGGGATTAAAGTTTGCCATATTTTTAGTTATACTCTTTCATTCTCAATGTTTTACATTAGCAAATATAGTATTACATCAGGTACAGTTTCTGCATATATAACATATGGAATTATAAAACACATCAATAACTTCGCAAAGGCAGCCATAAGCTTGTCACTAGACCATTTGATGGCTTAGGTTCATTACAGTTTGAATCCCAGTGTCTGGATCATTAAAAGCCATAATTATTTGACACTAGAAGAAGAGCAGACTTGTGTATGCATGTGTGTATATGTAGATGTGTCTACATATATGTCTGCATGTATGTCTACATATATGTCTATATGTAGGTATATATGTGTGTGTGTATATATGTACATGGGCTGGAGCGATAGCACAGCGGTTGGGCGTTTGCCTTGCAAGTGGCCAACATGGCTGACCCGAGTTCGATTCTTCCACCCCTCTCGGAGAGCCCGGCAAGCTACTGAGAGTATTTCGCCCACACAGCAAAGCCTGGCAAGCTACCCATGACGTATTCGATATGCCACAGTAACACAGTAACAACAAGTCTCTCAATTTGGTGTGAGATTTTACTGGTGCCCACTAGAGCAAATCAATGAACAATGGGAGGACAGTGCTACAGTGCTACATATATGTACATAAATATGCATATATACATATATATGTAGAGGTAAATTGTGAAGCTAGTGGGGGCTGGAGAGGTAGTACAGCCAAATTAATTTTTCTTCTGGTTTCTGGATCACACCCAGCAGTGCTCATGGATTACTCCTGGCTCTGCACCCAGGTTTCACTCCCAGCAGTGTTCATGGATTACTCCTAGCTTTGCACCCAGGTTTCTCTCCCAGCAGGCATGGGGGACCCTATGGGACAGCAGGGATCAAACCTAGTTGGTGGTTCCAGTACAGCCATCTTTAATCCCTGACACCACATAGAGTCCCCAGGAGTGATCCCTGAACACACAGCCTGGAGTAAGCCCTGAGCATAGACAGGTATGGCCCAAAAATAATTTAAAAAAAAAGGAAAGAAAAGAAAAACAGTCCAGAAGGCTGGTGGTTTAGTGTCTTCTCCTTTTCCAGACGGATACCAAACCGGTGCAGATGATGAATCTGGAGGCCACATTCTGCATGGGCCACATCGACGACATCGGCTGCAAGATCATTGAGCTTCCCTTCCAGAACAAGCACCTCAGCATGCTCATCCTGCTGCCCAAGGACGTGGAGGACGAGACTACGGGCTTAGAGAAGGTGAAGGGGGCAGGGCGATGCATAGAAGGGGCCACCCACCGTAGCAGAGGCCTGGGGCAGTGCCGTGAAGGGACACGCTTAGCTATCTCCCAGGATTTGGGGCCTTTCTCGGCTCTTCTCCTGAATGTTTAAGGTGTGAACACTTTCAGTGAGCCAGGAGCTGTTTGCCTCATTTAATTCTCCTCTTAATCCTGTGAGGTAGAAACTGTTACCTGACTCTCTTCACCCCTGCCGGTGCTGAAGCAGATGCATTGGTCAGATTCACAGTCCCAGGACTGGTCAGTGCAGAAAAAGCATCTGAGACCGGATGTTGCCACCTGTTTTTTTTTTTTTGAGGGGGTGGGGTGGGCAGGTGACACACCTGGAACTGCTCAAGGTTTACTCCTTTCTCTGTGCTCAGAGATCACTCTTGGCTGGGCTCAGATGACCATATGGGGTGCCAGGGATCAAAGCCAGTTTGGCCTTATGCAAGGCAAGTGCCCTACCTGCGGTACTGTTGGTCCAGTCTCATCATCCCTCCCTCACACTTTGTTTAAACACCGTGGTTTACAAAGTTGTTCATAATAACTTGTTAGAGGCATTCAATATTCCAACCCCAATCCCACCTCCACCATCACCATCCCTCCACTATTATCTCCATTTTCCCAATCACCCCTCAAGCCTGCCCAAATTACTTATTTTATACTGCTAGCCCCCCAAATTATTTATTTTATACTGCTTGGTACCACTAAATGGCTAACAGAAGGTCAAAACATATTTTTGTAGAAGAAACCTTGTGGAAATGGTTATATCTCACCATGGGGACATTAAGTCCTAGTCTGAGGTTTTACGAGGCTAACGTTGCCGGTTAAGCCTTCTGTGTCGCTGTTTTTGTTAGTCCAGATGGGTTGGTTTCTACCTTCCATTCCATACAATCTGGTGTACTCTAACTGGGACTTCAGTGTTGGAGAGTTTAGAGATGTTCTGAAAATCCAAAATTTTTAACTGGGCAAAAGTTAACTGGGCATGGCTGCCAGGGCTTCTGGAAATGTGGGGAGGTCCATTGCCCATCCTGACTCCAAGAACACCTGGAGTTTAAAAACCCACTTACCTGAAATATTTGGCAGTTCAGGTGCTCTATGGAGCTCAGTCCTGAGGTGGTGGGCTCCGGCCAGAGGCCCTGAGGCATGGGTGTGGTTGCCAGGGCTTTGGTAGGGCAGGAGCTCCCCTGCCTCCTTCCCCCTCCTCCGCCCCCTGAGATCTCCCCAGAGTGACAGCCAGTAACTGGTGTCAGAGAGATTTTTCTGCTAGTTAATCTCTTTTGAGATTTATTTATGAGTTTCTGGAACATGTCTGGTACATGAGCTTCCATGGTGGTGTGAGCTTACTGTGTTCTTAATTCAAGGCCAGAGCAGTTCCTGTTAGCATCCTTCAAGAAGTATTTTCAGAATGTAATACACAGTATATGTGTGCATGGGGCGGATACACATGTGTCCCGTGGAGTTCTGTTGCGAGACTGAAGAAGCACAGAGACCATAGCCTCTCCCTGACTCTGTAGTTCCCACAGTTTCACTGCATGATCGCAGAAGTCCTCTGCTGTGCATTTATTTTCCCTTTTGCTCAGAGGAGAACTGGAAGGGCCAATCTTTATTAAGATTTACTTTCTTAGAAATGTTATGGCTAAGCTCTTTTAAGTTTCATTGGATCTCTCTTGCTTTAAAACATGACCAACAAAAATGGATGTATTCATCATCTATGAGGTTAACGAATGAGCATGGAGTACAAATTTGCATTTTATAAAGACTAACTTTTGCTTTGATTTATTATATTTGATGTAAAGCACATTCTGAATTGTGTAGTATAGAAATTACAGAATGATTCAAGAAACGGACTATGGCAAAAGAAATATGTATGAAAGATGTTATAATTTCATTTCATTGTTATTCATGGTGGGTTGGAGCAATAGCACAGCGGGTAGGGCATTTGCCTTGCACGCAGCCAACATGGCCAACCCGAGTTCGATTCCTCCGCCCCTCTCGGAGAGCCCGGCAAGCTACCGAGAGTATTTCGCCTGCACGGCAGAGCCTGGCAAGCTCCCCGTGATGTATTCGATATACCAAATGCAGTAACAACAAAGTCTCATGATGGAGACGTTACTGGGCCCGCTCGAGCAAATCGATGAACAATGGGAGGACAGTGACAGTGACAGTATTATTCATGGTACATCTTAATCCATACAACTTTTTCCATAAACTGACTCAATAGTTCCAAAATGCCCTTATGAATCTCCAAGCAAAGCCACAATTGTATGGTTGGACTGGAGTTGAGCCACGGTGGGTGCCTGAGTGAATCTTCATGAGAAACTAGTAACATCTCACAAACACCGGGCTGATTTCATCATTGACTCTCCATCTTCGGTAGCTTTGGAGCTGGATTTGCTATGATATTCTGTGTTTCTCATCAGGCAGAACTTTCTACAGTTGGAAATTAAACATAATTTCCATATCTGGAGAGATAGTACTGCAGGTAGGGCTTGTGCCTTGCACGTAGCTGATTTGGATTCAACCTCCAGCATCCCATATGTACCCTGAGCACCATCAGGAGTAATTCCTAAGTGTAGAGCCAGGAGTAACCCCTGAACATTGCCAGGGTGGCAAAAAAATAACTAAAACAAAACCAAACGCTATAATTTCCTCTCCTTCTTGTCTTTCAGGTTGAGAAACAACTCAACTCCGAAACGCTGTTGAAGTGGACCAATCCCAGCACCATGGCCAATGCCAAAGTCAAACTCTCCATTCCCAAGTTTAAGGTGGAAAAGATCATTGATCCCAAGCCTAGTCTGGAAAACCTAGGGCTGAAAAAATTGTTTAATGAGAATACATCTGATTTCTCTGGAATGTCAGAGACCAAGGGCGTGGCCCTCTCAAATGTTATTCATAGAGTGTGCTTAGAAATAACGGAAGATGGTGGGGAGTCCATAGAAGTGCCAGGATCACGGATCCTGCAACACAAGGATGAGTTCAATGCTGACCACCCCTTTATTTACATCATCAGGCACAACAAAACTCGAAACATCATTTTCTTTGGCAAGTTTTGTTCTCCTTAACTCCCACCTGACTTCTATAAACTCTGTGTCCTGAGAATGGCTTTCTGAATAGGATGAACTGTTACTTTTTTTGAACCCGGAGCACTGTCTATGTTCTCCACGGCCCTCATACTAATAGTCCTTCTTTCTCACTCTTTCTTTTGTTTTCCATAAAAGCGATGGGTACCCTGTTAGCCACAGTAGATCCACAGAGCCCTAGGCTCTCTCCTGTGTGCCTGGGGAAATATTATTTGTTTGAACTCTGTATTTTTGGGATTTCAGGATAATTAGTTACACATCCTGTGCTATGGAATTCCTTTGGTAGGGAGTGGAACAGAACACTGTAAATCAGTACCAGTTGGCACATTTTAATCACAAAGTGGAGAATCTTCTCACAAAATGGGTAACAACACTTCAGTAGCTCAGAGCATTTGGGTTTTGCTGCCAAGTGAGTTTGCAATCAGCTTATGAAAAAAACCTTGTTTTCAGGACATTTTGAGATTTGGGGTTATTAGATCAGAATTATATCTCTATAGCAACTTAAGTGCTTTTTATAAGCATACATATGTATATATGTATAGGCACACATATGTATACACATATATATGTATATATAACAGACATGCATGTATGTATACATATATATGAAGGAGAGGCTTATATATTATTAAAAGTTCACTTCACATTGGATATAATACCCACTTGGTCGTTGGGGTGATAGTAGACAATTGGCAGGGACTTCTAACCAACTTAAAGCTTTGCATGTCTTATACTGAAGACAGACAAGGCGGATGTTTACAGCCTCCAATAAAGAATGTTATGGATGCTAGAGGAACGTGCTTTATCTGATGTGACAGTGGGGAAAGGAAAGGAACTTGAAACCTTTGAAAGTAGTTGTCATACACTGCCATGATGCGTATTTTTCAGTCTGTGAGTCTAGTACTTTGGGTAGCAAGTTGATAACTTACACAAATAGCCATACTTAAAGTTGGCTTGTAAGTCAACCATATTGCAAGTATATGTACTAGCTTACTACCCAAGAAACGCAATCTGTGAAGATTCTATGACATTCCTTCCCTCCTTTCTTTTCTGCTGTTTACTGTAAATAGGTTAAACTTTCTACTGTTTCTGAAGGATAAACATTGGATTTTCTTAATGCTGACAACAATAAAATGCAGCATGTCCTTGACTAACATCTTTTTGCTCAATATTGTTTGTATTTAACCATAAAAAAATTTAATTTCCACATGGACGGCTGTCTGTGTGGAGCTGACACATTCCTGCCTAGTCTGGCAGGTTTTTCTCCAAGAAGAACTCTAATTCCTTCCCATATCGGGGCATGGGGAGGTCATTTATAGGTCTCAACTATCCCAATAGAAGTGAATGTGTGTGTGTGTGTGTGTGTGTGTGTGTGTGTGTGTGTATGATGCACCTGTGATAGAGGACTTCCTGTCCTAGCTAGGGGCCTGCCATGAGCTCAGAGCCGCTGGACAGACTTGGGCCACTCAAGGCTCTTAAAAGGAATAAGTGGGTTGAAAAATGAAGGAATGAATGAAGAAACACTACTGTTTTAGAGAAATGTTCTGGATCTTTATTTAGAAATTTGGTCATGCTTTTTAATCCAGAAATCTACTTCATAAATTAATCACTTGCTTGTGTCAATGAAACTCTTCACATCGCTTTTGTTCTGAATCTTTTTGCTTCAAGTAGCGGTTTCCAAGACCCTAATGCATGACTTCAAGTGAGGATCCACTATGCTATTGAACTGCTCAGTGTTTACTCAGCTAATTTTAAGTACAATTAAGGCATGTATTTACAAAAGCATACTTCTTTCCAGGGCTGGAGCGATAGCATAACGGTTTGGGTGTTTGCCATGCACGCGGCCGACCCGGGTTTGATTCCTCCGTCCCTCTCGGAGAGCCTGGCAAGCTACCTAGCATATCCCACACACACGGCAGAGCCTGCCAAGCTCCCTGTGGTGTATTCGATATGCCAAAAACAGTAACAACAAGTCTCACAATGGAGATGTTACTGGTGCCCGCTCAAGCAAATCGATGAACAATGGGGGGACAGTGCTACAGTGCAGTGCTACTTCTTTCCAGACAGGTAATATAGTAGGTGAGGTTCTTGTCTTGCAATTAGATGACCCTGGTTTGATCCTGGTCACTGAGCACTGCCAGGAATGTTCTCTGAGAACAGAGGCAGAAATAAGCCCTGAGCACTGCTGGCATGTTTTCCCCAAATACAAACAAAAGCATAGTTCTTTATGGAAAGGGTTGTGTAGATTATGAAGAAAGCAGAATTATTACTCATTCTACACTACTTCCCTTGTCTGCCTTTCTCCCCATTAGCTCGGAACTCTTGTTTATTCTGAGCCTCTTCAGCTTTTTCATCCCAAGGAGGAGAGAACTAAGGAAATGTTAGAATGGCTTTTAACCACATAAAAGTATTGGGGAAAAAGAGGACAAATGGAACTTTTCTCCATAGTTCCCATTTTGGGCTCATGCCTGCAACCCTGAATTTTATAAGCAAGCTATAGTCTCAATGGAGTACATTTTTCTCAATGTTCTGTACCTTTGAAGATTGGTTTATGTTTAGTATGGTGTTTATGATCCTAATTCCACATGGCCTTTTTCCTGTGTTCTCAAAAAGAATGTGTCCTTGCTTGCAGTAAATGTCGAGTATAAAAAAAGGGGACAAAGGCCCTCACATTCTACAAAGAAAAGATCATTTATGTAGAACTGCTGGGGCTGGCTCACATCAGGCTTTGCAACCCTTGGCTTATTATTCCCCCTTCTCCAGGCTATGAGATAGAAAGCCAGAGACGTCTGTTTCGGAGCTCGGTGAGAGTTTAGGAGAGGAGAGAGCCTGGGACCTCTTTACACTGCTGTTACAAAAGTGTCTCCTAGAATTTAGAAGAGACTGGCATTATGGGACAACATTTCCCTGGGATAATCTCATTCAGGGGTTTTCAAGCAGATTCAGTCTCATCCTTCATCGGGACATTTTTTTTTCCTGTTACCATTTAGGGAAGGGAATGATCTGGAACGCAGAGGATAGAGACCAGGAATGTTGATAAACACTACTATGCACAGCACAGGACCCCAAAGCGTAGCACCATCCAGCCAAAAGTGTCAACAGGACTGAGGAAACTGGGACTCTGAGGGAGAGAAGATGGGAGAGGGACCCACAGCAGAGCCAAGAGAGAGGGCTGGGGCAGGAGTGGAAGGGCTGGCAGCTGGTGTGAGGCGTGGAGGGGCAGGATTATTCTCAGATTCTACACTAAACGACCAGGGAGGCCATAGAGGCCCAAGGGAGGCTTCAGAAACCCTGGAAGTTTGTATTTGGCCCATCTTGCACCAAATACCTGATTACATGGCACCAGTCCAGGCAGCTCTTTCTGCACGCCCCCCCCCCCCCCCGCCCCCAACTTCCTTCCCTTGACCCTCATGTAGAAACTGAGTTTGAATGCAAGAGCATGGCAGCTAAATAGTGCAGAAGCCTCCTCTGTTGCCTGTGTGTGTGTGTGTGTGTGTGTGCAGATCCCAACTGGAGAATCTTGACATCAACAGGCACACTGAGGATCAACATGCAGAGTGTCATACTAAGTGAAATGAGTCAGAAAGAGAGGGACAGACATAGAGAGACTGCACTCATTTGTGGAATATAAAGTAACAGAATGGGAGACCAACACCCAAGGATAGTAGAGACAAGGACCAGGAGGATTGCTCCACAGCTTGGAAGCCGGCCTCACATACTGGGGAAAAGGCAGCTCAGATAGAGAAGGGACCACAAAGTAAAGGGTGCTTGGAGGACCTGTTTGGGATGGGAGATGTGGGCTGAAAGTAAGACTATAGACCAAACATGATGACCACTTAATACCTGCATTGCAGACCACAACTCCATAAAGGAGAGAGAGAGTAAAAGGGAATTTGCCTGCCACAGAGGTGGGGTGGGGGGTGGTGGTGGTGGTGGGAGGAATATTGGAAACATTGGTGGAGAGTGGGCACTAATGGACGAATGGGTACTCGATCATTGCCTGACTGAAACGTAAGCACAAGTTTGTAAGTCTGTAATGGTACCTCACGGTGATTCATTAAAAAAAATTTATGAAAAAAAAAGGCACACTGAAACTCTGAATTAAAAATCTGGGCTTCTTCATTTCCTAAGTGTCCTTTTATTACATGAAAGTGTCCAGAGAAGCTCTACCCCAAAACCTGTTTCAGAGATTTGATTAATGGGAGGTAAGACGCAACAGAGAGAATTGAAAAGAAAGAAAGAAAGGTAGAAGTTGTATTTTCCTAGCACCTGCCAGTATGGCTCATCAATAAACCCCTTTTACAGAGATGTTATCTTTGTTTCTTGAAGGTGGGGGATGCTCAGGAATTACACCCTGGGTGCTGGTACTCAGTGCTTACTCCTGGCTCTGTGCTCAAGGATCACCACAGGACCGTGCTGTGTGCAAGGTGTCTTAAGCCCTTGTCCCCTTGAATATTCTTCTGCTTCCAGATAGCTTATCTCACATAATGATCACATCAAACATGAGGAGGACATGATGGTCTTATTTTATAAACTGGATCCTGATACAGAACTCAAACCTAACCTTCACTAGCCCTGTGACCTTGAGCCAGAGGTCAGATTTGAACTTGTGAAAATGGAGGCTGAGACTGGAGCTCCTCCCTGTATCTGAAATTACCATCTTCTAGCTGGGTCCATGGATACTGAAGGCATGTGGAAGAGGTCTCTTCTCTGCACGATCGACTTCTCAAATACTTATCTTGGGAGTCCTTCTCCTGTCCATCAGTCACGGTCACGGTCATCACGGTCCTCCCGTTGTTCACCGATTTGCTCGAGCGGGCCCAGTAACATCTCCATCGTGAGACTTGTTACTGTGTTTGGCAAATCAAATACGTCACGGGGAGCTTGCCAGGCTTTGCCGTGAGGGTGAGATATTCTCGGTAGCGTGCTGGGCTCTCCGAGAGGGGCAGAGGAATTGAACTCGAGTCGGCCATGTTGGCTGCGTGCA